CCTGCTTGGCCATGGCTAGCTTCTTCTGTAGGTATTCAATCTGCTCCTCCACTGCCCGGATCTTCCTCAAGGCATCCTCATCAGCCATTTTCTTGTTCTCTTTCTTCTCTTTATCCTCCAAATCCTTGAGTCTTTGCCTGAGATCCTCCAACTACAGGAGGAAAAGGATCACGTAAGAAACTAAGAGAAGCCATCAAACACTTCCAAAACTCTATCAACATTATGCACACATGGAAGCCCCACATAAACAAGCAGTACATAATTGTGGAACAGGATAAAAGATAAACTGAGAATAACTCAGTTCAGCACACCACTCAACATCATTCCTGCATGTTATACATCTACAGGCAGAGGCTTTGCCTATTACACACACTTTTCTTTGGAGGTGTTCAAACTGTCTTCTCCTTAGACCTCAAATTTTCAAGAATAAAAACATTTCTCTTGGGATGGACATGACAGTCTACATCTTTAATTCTAGCACTCAGGAGGAAGAGTCAGGTGGATCCCTGAGAATTTGAAGCCAACCCTGGCCTATATCACAAGTTCTAGGATAGCCAGGGTTTCACAGAGAGACCCTGTCTCAGAAAGCCAAAAACAAACAAACACACAAAAAAACATTCCTCTCAGGGTTGATGGAATGGCTGAGTGGTTAAGAACACTGGTTGATTTTCCTGAGGACCCATGTTCAATTCTCAGCACTGTATGGCAACTCACAACCATCTATAACTCCAATTCTAGGTGCCCTCTTCAGCCCTCCACTGATATCAGGCACACATGTGATGCACAGACAAGGCAAGGAAAACACCCTTACACACAAAATAATAAAAAATATTTAAAAGGAAAAATCCCTCTCAAATGCAACTAGAAAAAGAGAACTACTATAGTAATAACAAAGATAAAGTGGTAATAATTTCTCAGGACCAACCAAGGAAAATTTTAAAAACCTAGTCCAAGTTCTTGTAATTCTGACATATTTTATTACCTTGCAGAGGATTTTAAAAGCCTGACTTCAGAGAGTCTTTTTTGTTTGTTCTGTTGTTTTTGTAGTTTTTTTGTTGCTTTTTTGAGACAGGGTCTCTCTGTGTAACCCCAGCTGTCCTGGAATTCCCTCCATAGCCCAGGCTGGCCTCAAACTCCGAGATCCACCTACCTGCTTTTGCCTCCTGAGTGCTGGGATTAAAGGCGCGCGCTATCACACCCACAGACAGTCTTTGACAAGGGGGACAAAGTTGCTAAGTTGAACACTAGCATTAAAGATGAAAGCACAAAGGACAACCCCACAGAGGAAGACTGTCACCAGGATGACAGGTGACAGAAGTCTCAGTTACCTCAGCCTTCGACTTCTTCTCAGCTGCCATTAGCTGCACTTTGTCTCTCTGCTCCTTGGGGGCAGAGCGATACATATCTAGCAGCAGTTTCATCTCCTTCTGGCTCTCTTGTGCTTTCCTACGACAGGGTGGTGGAGGGAAAGGAACAACAGGGAAAGAACAAAGGACATCAGAGCAAGAGCACTGGGATGCAATGCGACATTCCACAACAGTTTTCCTAGTCTCTATTGTTTTCATAAGTGACCAACAGACTTCTGCAACAGAAAAGAAGCCCATACATATGAAACACTTCTCTCTTCAATTCTGCAACATAAAGTTATACAGTAAGTAACTGTGGCAATTCTGACACAGGCACATTTTAGTGGTGCCACTCAGAAACTGAGAGTTAGTAGACAGATCTGGGATGTATTTAGTCAAATCACTAGGATGATTTTTAATAGGGGGAAATGAATGTACTTAAAAAAAATCAAAAACAAGGAAATTTTGAAAGTTTAAAATAAACTGCTAGTCTTAGGATTGGTAATGACAGTTGTAAACATCAGCTGGAGACTAACACTTCATTTCTTACTAAATGCTTAAGCTTAATGACTGGTGAGCTCAAGTACTTAAAGCACAGCGAACACTTAAATTCAAAGTATAAACCATGAAAAATAAAGTCAGAAAAGCCAGTTCCACCAGACATTATTGTTTATGCAGTAGGAAATGAGACAATATGTTATGTCAGGACAAAGATAATGCTGCACTGAGTTAAATCTATCCTTCTGTCTGGATCCTGTAGGAGGAAACTGCCTAAGGAATTCTTGGTTTGAGGCTGGCATACCTTCAAACCAGTCACCTGCAAATAAATTAGAGATGTAGGATAATTTAAAATGCAAGTGATGCCAGCAAATTACTCAAACCTAAAAGTAGTAGTCAATTTCCAGTATTCTCTGGTGTGCTACTTCAATGTAGTATCTGTTTTCTTAATATGAACTCATGAGAAGTAAAGGCCTCAACCAGGAGCTCACTGGCTCCTAACCACTCAGCAACACTGTACAATAGCCAGGTAGGCCACCTGGCTACATATCTGATTGAAAGTCAAGACCATATTAATTGTACACTAAGCTACAGCTAAAATACTATGCAATGACTGGTGAGCCATACACTCTAAAACAAACAGTTCACTCTCAGGTTCGGGCTCTGAATCACGGCAAACGTCGCTTACTTGAGTTCAATCTTCAGCTGCTTAATAACATCTGCTTCTTTTTTCCTCCCATCTTCATGCTTCCCTTTTTCTTTATCCTTAGCAGAATCTCTCTCTTTTTCTGACTCTTTCAGTTTCTGTTTCTCTCGTTCTCTCTCCTTTTCCTTTTCTCGTTCTCGTTCTCGCTCTCTTTCTTTCTCCCTCCTTTCTCGTTCTCTCTCTTCTTCATCTCGTTTGGACTTAACTTCACTGGCCTCCTCCTGAGATGCCTTTGATGCTGAAGGATGAGTGGACAGGTCCTCAGAATCTTGCTTTAGCTCTGTGGGTTCATCCTTGGGGTCCTCAGTACTAGACTGAGACTGCAGGAGGGCACTGCCACTGCGCAGCCGCGTCTAGGAGACAAAGCAAGGAAGACACACCTCAGCTCTGTGGACCAGATTGCTTCCCTCACTCCTAACACCCTCACCATCACCATGGCAAACAATGCTTATTCCACGGTTCCCGGATACCTTGTTCAGGTCGGACTGTGCCTCTCTCAGTTTCCGCTTATACCTCAGGACCTCCCCCTTCAGCTGGTGGTTGTGATTCTGGAGGCTGCTAATGAGATGCCGCATCTCCCGGTTTATGGGACCTGAAAAAACACAGCAGCAATATGAAGAGCCTTGACAAGGGCAAAGGCTCAAGGAGAGAAAGCTCAGAACAAATCAGGAACTTCTGAATAGCAAGGAGAGGTACAAACAAAATGCTCTTTTTCAGAAGACGAAAATCAAATTGCCTGAGTGAATTAAAACAAACACCCAGGCTTTGGGTCAAAATGAATTACAGGATTTGATTCCAGGTACTTCGTTCAGATCTTCTGAGTTTAGAATTAACAAATCCAAAAAAAAAAAAAAAAAAAAAACCTCCTATTTCAAAGAAAGAATTTACAACAGGTAAATTTACAACAGGTAGAGCAAGAGTGATTTTACCTGCTTGTTCGTTGGCAGCAAGGGTTTGCTCAAACTCTATCCTCAGCATTTCATACTCTTTGCGGACCTGGGCCAAGGTATCCTCCAGCTGGATTACTTCAGTTCTCAGCTTCTTATGCAGACTAACCTCATCTCGCT